AAAATGTGTAAATACACACCACCCACAAATCAACTTGATACACCGAAAGCATCGTAAATACCAGTGTGTGATAACATCAGCAAATTTGGTCGTGTGGTAAACTGCAACTAGATCCTAGTTACTAGAACTTGACATGTTCTTCTGACAAACATGCAAGTGGTGGTAAGGTTTGTGGTATTGGTGCCGGCGCACGTCGGTGTCATGGTGGACGGTTTGTTGCCGTGTGTGGTGCGTGGTGATTTGGGGGTTGGCGGTGGGGTGGGATGGGGGGGGGAGTCTCGCCACATAAGCGCAGGACCAGGACCCTTGACGCCCTCCCCCGCCTCCAAGAAGCCAGCCGCCCCAGCACAAGCAGCGACCTTTGCTTGCAAGCAGCGGCCACTATTCATAAACAGCGGCCCTGTTAATAAATGTTTATAAACAGCAGCTCTCGCTTACAAGCAAGCACCACATCTACAACACAACAAACTTTTCGAATAGACCATCAATGCAACCAAAATCAAAAACAAACACACCGACCAACAGAGAAAATTTCGACCTACGGCTGCCAATGATGAAATCACACTGCTGCCATGCTGCCAGTCGACTTCAGTCCTTTGGTGTCACGTGCACTTGGTTCTGTGGGCAGCGGTGGCGGAGTGGTTCAGTTCTCCAAGCAGAACATCCACAGACTGTAAAGCACTTCAATATAGGAACCGACATTGCTTGGACTCAGTCTTGTGTGCATTGCTTCCTGTGGAAACCCTGATGTCCGACTTTGAATTACGACGTCCGTTCCAAAATCGCCTGCAGTTGTACCCTTCCCTGGAGAAATGTTCGTTGTCACAACGACTTCGGATGTCCTGCATGACCTGGAACTCGACCTCTCTCTAAGACAAGAAGCCCAGAAGCCCTGATGCAGCTCATCCACCCCTCCACGCCACACACTTCCGTCGCGGATCAGTCATATTCGATGGCGCACTCCTGCTCGAAGCTCTTGCTGCCTTCAGAACACAAGGGGGCATTCCAACTTCGCTAACGATGACTGCGTTGTTTCTTTCCAAGTCCGTCGATGTCTCAACGATGCCGTCTCCGGCATCCCGAACGAACATCTGAGACTAAAGAATGCGACGTGAGCGCTTTCACGACGCCTAAATTGCCGCTCGCGGCAGTCTTGAACAAATTCGCACGGGCAGGCTGCAGTGCCACGTAATGCTTGCAACCATCAGCGATGCACCATAGACGGTTCACGGCGCGACAGACCCCTGCACTACCCGAACTTTTCGCGAAATGTTCCTTGCTCAGGCTGGCCGAAGCCGCGAGAGCCGCCTTGGGCGTAGGGAAATCACTTAAAACGCCTGGCAAACCAGGTACCTTTGGCAACCCGGTCTGCCTGAGTAACTAAATTTAAATGAACCGTTTGCAGGGACTGGCAACAGGCAACACATTATTTCTCGTTTGTCTTTGTTTTTGTTGGGATTCACACATCTTTCGCAGAATGAATTCCGCAATCGGCTCCTTTAAGACTAAATCAATACTAAAATCACGCGCTGCTGAGTGTCATCTCGATTCTCAGCGCGGTGAAATAGTTTTCATCCGCGTCAGAGCTGTGGCCATTCTGGAAAAGAAAATAGGCGCGCTCCAAGACACGCTGCTCCAAGCTGCACCCCAGGCCACGCTCGTGGGCCTCCCCGGCCATCTGGTCAGCAACCTGCACAACACCACCAAAATCCCCGGCGTTCAATCCGAACAAGCGTTGATCGAACTTCAGCAACTGACTCAAAACAACCCGCCTGACATGGCGAGGAATCATGGACCATCGAGCCACTGCCGCGGTCGTGGGCCTCACTGCTGCGGTGGGCATCACTGCTGTGATGGTGGGCATCGCTGCTGTGGTGGTGGTCACAGCCGGGATGATGCTCCTCCCCGCTTCGGCGGCTGCTCTCCATCTCAATCGAGGGCACTGCGTGCTGAGCTGAGCTGCCGTTTGGGGAAAACAAGAAGTTGGACAGCGGTGGCTCTGTCTTGTTTTCAGGAACTGGTGGGAGGAACAAGAACTCCGAAAAGCTAGAGCTCTGCACCGGCACGGGTGTGGTGACTGTGGACGGCCCGAATTGGGCTGCCCTTTTCTTTCCGTGAGGCTTGTCTGCGGTTCCGGAGTTTTCGGGAGCCGATGCGGACCGGGGTCTGGGGCTGATTGATCTGTGGTCGACGTGCTCCGAGAACCGAAGAGTCTTCTTCGGTCTGGGCTTCGTGGCATCGCGGACCAATATGGAGGAAGGCGGCGATTGCCTCTTCACTGCAACCTCAAACGGATCCGTCAGCAGCGACTGGCAGGACAACGGCACTTCCCGCCTTATGACGGGTCCTGTACTGCCGTTGGTCTCCACGGTTTCCACCTTCTCAGCCTCTTCATCCGGACCGCCGACCACATCTGCAGAGGCTTCCGAATCCACCTTCTCAGCCTCTTCATCCGGACCACCGACCACATCTGCAGAGGCTTCCGACTCCTCATCTGAACGCTCGTCTGAGCATTCGGATCCGGATTCGTCCGGATCCTCACACTCTTGGTGGAGCTTGGTGGCCCCGGTGCTTGGCACATCGAGATGCTCCTCGTCGGGGCTTCGCTGGGGAGCCACAAAGTTATCGTCCTGTCCGACAGGAAAGCACACACACACAGAACCCACGCCTATAGCAAAGCTACACGACAAACAATCAAGCCAACAGCAGGCTCCTCCGCTGCGCGGGAAAGGGAAAGTCTGTGGATGCTTTCAGTACTCGTTACGATTCAGACAACAAAGCCCCTCCAACGTGCGAGCAGCGAAAGCAAGGACCATGGTACAGATTGCGGTTCTGAACTAACCTGGCTACATATCTTCTTTCTAGGACTTATGTCTGCTCACAAAATAATATCATGGAGTTGTACGGGTGAACGGGTCGGGCAAAAAACGCTAGTGCCTGTGCGCACCCGTCCAGTTTAGTGTTCAACCTCTTGTGGACCTGTTTTGGCTGGATCCCGAATCTCTGTCAAACCACCGGCTCACGAGCCGCCTTTGAGGGCCAAAACTAAAGTCGAAGTATCCTGTCAGACACGACCTACGGACCCTCACCTACTGCATCACTTAATGTTGGGCGCTTGCCGTGAGGGAACCCTTTAAGACACAAGAATACTAAATAGTTACATAGTTCTTACCAGCTTAGCTGATCATCATGATTCTGGAACCCAGTTTCATCCTGTCCTTGTCCATCTCCTGGAATGTCCTGGCTCGCAAGAGTCGCTCGGAGGCGTCAGAGTAGCCCCTGCGGAGGATGCTGCGGACCAGCAGCTTCTTCTCACGGTCTTCACCGGCTACTTTCGAAACGATCTCTGCCGGCTGCTTGTTCTTGGCCTCCTCATTTGCATCTGCCCCTGCCCCACTGGCCTTGCCCTCAGACATGGGGCATTGCATGAAATTATTACTCGTCAGCAAAGTCGGTGGAAGCTCGTCTTCTTCACCTTCTTCGCCCTCCAAACCCTCGGATCCAGACCCATCCGAGTACTCACCCTTTTCATTGAGGGCCCCGTTGTTGGCGCCGTTACTCAACACACGAAGCTCATCGGAGGCTTGTAGGGGACGGTCGTCCTTCTCCGCCGAGCCCGAGTCCTGCACGAAACCCAGGCACACGCACTGCACAACAATACTGGAACAAA